TGAACCGCCGCCCTTTTGGTTAGCAGTCAATTGCTTTAACCACTGCGCCACCAGGGCTCCTTCTTCTTGCACTAAACAAACCAACCAACCCATCGCCATCGAGTCCATTCTGACTCATAGCGACTCTACAGGACAGAGTAGAACTGTCCAATAGGGCTTCCAAGGAGCGGCTGGTGAATTCGAAACCGTCAACCTCTTGGTTAGCAGCTGAGCTCTTAACCACTGAGCCACCAGGACTCTTTCTTCTTGCACTAAAGTAAGGCTGAATAACTGTATGCACCTGTTCTGACTTACCTACAAGTTCGACTTAAAGACTTAAAGACACAGGAGAGATCTTGTTCTTAATCCGGGAACTGCCTGTACCATGTTTTGTTTATCCATTTATCTATTGATGGACTTTTGGGTTGTTTTTACTTTTTGAATAAGCCATGGTGGTGCAGTGGTTAAGAGCTCGGCAGCTAACCAAAAGGTTGGTAGTTTGAATCCACCAGCTGCTCCTTGGAAACCCTATGAGGTAGTTCTACTCTGTCCTATAGGGTCACTATGAGTTGGAATCGACTCCATGGCAATGGTGTAGTGCTGCAGTGAACTCTGGTGTACAAGTATCTGTTTGAATCCATTTTCACATCTCTTGGATATATACTTAGGTGTGGAATTGCAGAATCATAGGATAATTCTATGTTTAACTTATTGAGGAACTGCCAAACTGTTTTCTATTGTGGCTGTACCATTTTATAATCCTAGCAGCAATGAATGAGGCTTCCAATTTCTTCATATTCTGACAGGTTGCTGCTGTTTTATTCATTATTCTATGTTGGTATATTTGAAAGACTTTGACTAGTAAATTTTTCAAAAGAATGGGAACTGTTGCTGAAATGGTTTGTGTAAATGAATGAACCATGAACTCACTCCTATTTTCCGTACTTACCAACTATTTGAATTGCAGATTATATTTAAGTTTTTGGTGTATGTGTGTGTATAATTATTCATACATACAGACATTGTATATAAATATGCAAATACACACATCTGTATATTTAATTTCCATAAGTAAATGCCTACTTGACGTCACACTAAATTCTTTTATATTACTGCTTTTCCCTAGGGTGTTATAAAATAGTACTTTATTTTCCATCCATTTATTTCCATTTTTTTTTAGGTTTCAATGTACTATTATTTGAGCATAATAAAGGTTTAACCCTTTAAGTTATGTCATAGTCAAACTTGGGTTTATAGGGGGAATGGCCTGGAAGAAATAGATAAATTGAGACGAGTTTTGTAAGCAGGGTTTTGTAAAAGGAATCATTAAATTGCCTAGGACATCAAACTCTCTAGCTGGTAGCCAGTCTTATCTCAATCGTTTATTATAAGTGCTCTACAGAGAGAAAGCTACTTTATGGCTATATCTTGAGTCAGTTATTTGGATTTGCATAACAAGTTCATTTTAGGGAGCAAATACCTGTTTTCTCTGAAAACATTATGCCTTTAAAACAGGCACAAATGGTAGAATGGTGAAATGCTTAAATGTTTTCCATTAATTTTATTCTGCAGAAGAGTGGTACATGTTTATTACAAAAACATTAGAAAGTACAGGCCAAAAAAAAAAAATCATTTGTAAATCCCACTAGCAGTTATAACCAGTGTTATTTTTTTGGCGTATGCTTGTATTGATGTGTTGTGCATATGTATTTAAAATTATAATTTATATTGAAGTGTATACATTTTCTTACTTGCATATTCACTTCCTAATAAATCGTGAACATGTTCTCATGTTAAAAGTAATCCCACGATTTTGCACTGTTGGTTTTAAGGTTTGCTCAGTATTCCATTGTATAGATACATGTAACTTTCCTTGGTATTGGGTATCTGGATTGTTTCCAGTTTTACACAACTCTGTGGTGAACATCCTTCTAGCTAAATCTCTTTGTTCACATGATTAATGATTTCCTTGGAAGAGCTTCCCCAGTGTGGAATTGCTGAGTCCAAGGTTTTGACGTTTGTAAGGCTTTTTTTTAAATCACGTATCACCAGATTGTCCTTTATTGATAACCTTCCTCCGAGCACTGGGCAAAACAACAAACAAACAGACAAAAAAACCAAACCAGTGGCTGTTGAGTTGGTTCCAACTCTTGGCAACCCCATGTGTGTCAGAGTAGAACAGTGCTCCATGGTGTTTTTAACGCCTGATGTTTTGGATGTAGATCAGCAGGCCTTTCTTCTGAAGCGTTTCTAGGTGGACTCCAACTGCCAGGCTTTTGGTCAGTAGCCCAGCACTTCGCTGTTTGCGCCTCCCAGGGACTCTGAGCACTGGGCATGGTTGTGCTACTGTTAGTAATAATAATAATAAATACTATCAGTAATAATAATAATTATTATTACTACTATTATTTGCTGTTCTGGTGGTTTCTGTCTTGACTGGGACCTCAGTCTTTTTCCTTGCCCAAGTTTGTTACTTGTGCCTGAATTAGAGCTCAGTTGCAATGTTTTTCTTTGGTTACTGCCTTCAGGGAGAAAACACCACTACAGGTAGAAATACCGTCTTTCTGGGGCTTCCTCACGTCAGCCGAGCTGTTGGGTGTTGTTAGTGTGAACCTCCTAGAGCATCCCTTTGTGAGTGTTGATGGGATGCAGTGTAATGGGTCTCCCTCTTTTCCAAGCTGGAGGAGCCCTGAGTGAGTGTTTCCAATGCAGAACAACCAGGGTATCCATGGGCTTCGAGATAGCCATTAAAAAAAAACAACGAAAACAAAAAACCAAACTTCTTGTCGTGGAGTTGATTGCAACTCATAGCAACCCTACAGGACAGAGTAGAACTGCTCCACACAGTTTCTAAGGAGCAGCTGGTGGATTCGAACTGCTGACCGTTTGGTTAGCGGCCAAGCTCTTAACTGTGCCACCAGGGCTTCTTTGAGATAGCTATAGATGTTGAATAATTAATAGGTTTCCAGGGAGATTTTAATTACTATCGTGGGATATTCTTTTGGGCTTAATGCCAGTTGTAATTTGATTACTTGAGAACCATTTCAGAGGATAAAGTGTTTAGAAGTAAGTGTATTAAATGCATAGATGGGCATTGTTTTTCAATATTAATATTAAGGGTAATTTGGTATAAGTTTGGATGAGGATTCACCATCTAAATGACTTTATTTTGATTTTAGCTATTAATCATGCACTTGCCACTTAAAACTAATGGATTTGGGTTACGTTATTCCCTTTAATAAACTAAGCTGCAGGATAGATGATCATTAATCATATTAAGATTCTTCATAGGGATTTGCAAAGGAAAAAAAACAGATTACGGTTTGAAGACAAGGGTAGTGTTTGCTATGCCTTGCCTTCTGGAATGTATTACAGTAATTCTGAGCATTCTGGCCTCTGACTCTGTGATGACAATTTGATTCTGAAACCTCAAACTGTCACTTATACAAACCAGCAGATGATTCAGACCAGCAAATGACTTGTGTTGTATTCTTTAATGTCCGTGGTCAGGGCATTGGGTGGAGAGAAAAGGGGCTGGAAAAAGAGGTGGTGAATTTTACAATGAGGCATTCTGATTGTTGAAATTGCTATGAATACATCTAGGGAGTAAGTGCTGAAACCACCCACTTAGAATAAGACTCATTTGTTAAAGACATAGAGTCACTTTTAGGCCTGGCATTTTGCTCAACCCAGTGGTGAAATAAAGGACTGGGATTTATTATCAAGTTATGAAAGATCATATAAATATTGCTAAGTCACGATGAAAATTACAGAAATTTAAAAAAGAGAAGTGTTGTCTTGTTTTAATAACTGACATTATTTAGTGCCTCCATACCTGATCCTTGATATTGTTCAGTCCTATTTGGAAATGCCACAGTGGTGGGTGTGTTATTTTGACCTCATGTGAGGGTTCCATGACAACAGTAAACAGTCATAGTGCAGGTTTTCATGAGGCAATAAATCTAGATGATACAAGCAGCCTTGGCCTGCAATAAAGATGTGTTGTGAAATTTCCAGCGCCAGAAGAGACACACACAGCTGGGACTGGCACTTCCTGGGCCGTTGATGTTGATGACTGAGAACTGCCCTTTGGGGCTTGGTATCAGATGGAGTTTGTGGCTCCCTGAGGTCATTGTGGTGCCCGGTTGTGCCCCGTTAGGCTTGCCTGGATGGTTTGCACCGCTGTCACAGGTGGTTCCTGTTCTTCTCCTGGACTTTCTCAGAACACGCCTTGTATTTTATTTGTTTTCTTAAACTAATCCTCAATCAAAACAAAACAAAACAGAAGAAGCATTCAGCATTATTGATAAGGCTAAGAATACTTTATAATAGGATTTCCAATTGTTGCCTTGCCAAAGTCTGACAATTCAATTTGGATATCCTTTTAAAATACTTTTGGTAGGATGATTTACTTTTCTCTCTTTCTTTTAGCCTAAACATGTCCTAGCTCGCGATCACTTTCCAGCAGCCAATGAACAACGTAGTTTTAATGGAATGTTTTAGAAGTATAGTGTAATGGAAATTGCTCAGGATTTGGAGTCAGACGGGCCCGCTTTAGCATCTTGATGTCATCTTTTATGAATCGTGTGACCTTGGGTGAGTCACATAGTCTCTCTGAAGCTCAGTTTTCTATTAGGTTGGGATAATGATACTCAATTTCTTTAAGAAACTGACTGATGGAATGTTGCAGAACTTGAGTGTGGCAGAAATTGAGAAATGTGACTTTGACTCTCCTCCCTGGGGAATGGGAATTCCAAAACACTTGATTGTGCTCATGAGGAACCTGTACACAGATCAAGAGGCAGTTGTTCAGACAGAACAAGGGGATACTGCGTGGTTTAAAGTCAGGAAAGGTGTGCATCAGGGTCGTATCCTTTCACCATACCTATTCAATCTGTAGGCCAAGAAAATAATCCGAGAAGCTGGACTATATGAAGAAAAAAGGGGCATCAGGATTGGAGGAAGACTCATAAACAACCTATGATATGCAGATGACACAACCTTGCTTGCTGAAAGTGAAGAGGACTTGAAGCACTTCCTGGTGAAGATCAAAGACCATAGCCTCCAGTTTGGATTACACCTCAACATAAAGAAAACAAAAATCCTCACAACTGGACCAGTAAGCAACGTCATGATAAAAGGAAGAAAGATTGAAATTGTCAAGATTTCATTTTACTTGGATCCACAATCAACACCCATGCAAGCAGCAGTCAGGAAATCCAAAGACAAATTGCACTGGGCAAATCTGTTGCAAAAGACCTCTTTAAAGTATTGGAAAGCAAAGATGTCATCTTGAAGACTAAGGTGTGCCTGACCCAAGCCATGGTATTTTCAATCACATCATATGCATGCGAAAGCTGGACAATAAATAAGGAAGACCGAAGAAGAATTGATGCCTTTGAATTGTGGTGTTGCCAAAAGAATGAATAAATCTATCTTGGAAGAAGTACAACCAGAATGCTCCTTGGAAGGGAGAATGGCTAGGCTACATCTTACATACTTTGGACATGTCAGCAGGGACCAGTCCCTGGAGGACATCATGCTTGTTAAGGTACAGGGTCAGCAAAAAAGAGGAAGACCCTCAATGAGATGGCTTGACACAGTGGCTGCAGCAATGGGCTCAAGCATAACAACGATTGTGAGCATGGCGCAGGACCGGGCAGTGTTTGGTTCTGTGGGTGCATAGGGGTGCTATGAGTCGGAACCGACTTGACAGCACCTAACAGCAACAACAACCCTCAGGGAGGTGGGAGGTGGCAGTGTTTCTGTTCTTTTTCTTGAGTCAGGGTGGGCTTGTGATTACGGTGGAAGTGGTGCTGTGAGACTTCCCGTGTAAGTTTCTGAAAAGAGGTACATCTTCTACCTGATTCCCCTGGGACATTTGATTTGGAATACAGCCTGTAGACTGTGAGGAAGCCTAGGCGTTCACATGGAGAGGCCTCATCTAGATGTTCGGGTGGACTGCCCCAGCTGAGGTCCCAGCTGATTCTAGTTCCTTGCTGTTGCGTCATCCCTTGTCTTCCCAGTGGAAGCCCTGCACATCAAGTAGCAAAGACAAACCACCCTGCCCATGCTCTGTACTAATCCCACGTAAACTGTGAGAGGTAATAAAATTGTTGTTGTGTTAAGTCACTATGTTTTGCGATGATTTGTGTAGTGATAGTTAACTGGAACAAGGATATCGTGAGACTCAAATGAAATAGTAGTTTTCATTCTAGGTTTCAATACTGTCTTCACCACTGAACAGCTGTGTGTCCTTGGGCAAGGTATTTAACTTCGTGTTTGTTTCCGTAACTGTAAACGGGGCTAATAGTACCTCTCTCTAGATTTATATGAGAATTAGTGATTTAGTACGTGTGAGATGCTCAATACATGTTAGTTGTCATTATTTTTTATGAAAATATATTATTGGGATTTGAGAATGTAGATATTTGTTAATTTTACTATGATTTTTAAGACAGTTATGCACATTTTGCTTAACTCTCTAGGAAAGACACTAGTTAGGCTTTTTAATATAATTTTCATGAAATAAAAAAAGAAAAATTAAAAATACATCTGTTACTAGTATCCACCAAGCATCTATTTTACATATTTTGTTATAAAGTTATATATATTGACTGGAAACCTTTGGCTTCACCTGGATGAAAAGAGGCATAATGAAGCCAGCATAGGAACTCAGTAAAAGAAGGGTTGAAGGATGGGAGAGAGGAAGGAAATCTAATTTTATACATATTATGTACCAGGAACTGGACGACAGGCTTTCTACCAGTGTTGTCTTCTTAGATACTCTCAGGCAGATAATAAGCAAAGAATGGCTTGCTACTGAATCTTTGTGGTTGGTGAAGTTGGGTTTGTGTCCTTCTCTGGTGTGTTATATGGGGAAAGAGGAACTTAGCAATTACAGTATTGCTTCCAGGCTAAAAGCTACTCATCTGAGCTCACGCATCTGGGTTTCTTTCTGCCTCTGACCCTTGAGTAGCTTTGTGACTTCTCTAAGCCTCAGTTTCCTCAGCTGCCAAATGGGTTTAACAGGGGCTTCTCCTTCCTAGAGTTGTTAGGAGGATTTTTCGAGATAACACACTGCTTCCCAACCTTGCCTGATCATAATAATCACCCTAAAGCATTTGTAATACTACTGGGGCCCATCCCACTGCTACTGAATCAGAATCACCAGGGAATCTGTGTTTTTAAAGAAGTGTCCCAAAAAAGTCTTAGGATTATGAGACATGAAAAAGATGCATGTAAAGCTCATTAATCAAGACTTGATAAGTGTTAGCTGCCCTTGTAATTATACTTATTAATTTCCTATTTTAGGTAAGTTCTTTTAAATTGCTATATTCTTTACATTTACTTCTATGGTTTTTGACAGTTCCTGAAAAATGAATCAGAGAGCGTGTACAAATGTTGGCAAACCCGTTTAATAAAATGTTTAAACTATTATTTTACGCTTATCAAGAAGGTATGCATGCTCTTTGCTTTTTCTTTTCTTGCTGGAATATTGATCGTCATAATCAAGTTAATGAGTTTCCTCCCAAACAACCAAACCTCTGGAGGCTTAGGGGGACCGTGAATCAAGACACTGTTTTCTACAATATAATTAAAGAAAAATTAGCTTAGCAGTTAGGGTCACTGAACCTGGAGGAGTTTACCCACTGGCTGCCCATCTGGCTAGGACTGGAAGTCTTCGTATTGTGTGTTACATGATAATTAGGGATTGAGAGTATCTACATTGGTGACTCTAAACACAGAATTTTCTAGATACTGATGCTTAAGTATGTATTTAGAAAAATTTGTGCATGTTTGTAGATCTCACTGTCTGACATAATCCTATTCTAGCTGGTTCTTTAATTCTGTTTTAGCTGATTACTTGTCACAGCTTCGAATTGGAGCACTTGAGTTTGTATCACAGTCTTCCAGGGCTGTTGTGCGTGACAGGTTGTTTGGTAAGTGTTTTGCTGAATACTTTGAAGTATGGTTGCTTTAAGGAGCCCTGGTGCACCGTGGTTAAGCACTCGACTGTTAACTGAAAGGTTGGTGGTTCAAACCCACCAGCTGCTCCACAGGAGAAAGATGTGGCAGTCTGCTTCTGTAAAGATTGCAGCCTTGGAAACCCATGGGACAGTTGTCCTGTAGGGTCACTTTCGGGTTGCTATGAGTCGGAATTGACATCAAGGCAATGAGTGTGGTTTTGGTTTTGTTTATAGTTGCTTTTGTCATCCTTGGTTACATTGTGTATCACGTTGTCTCCTGTACATAAGGGGAAACAGTAACCCTGCTGTTGTAATTAATTTATAAAGCAATTAATAATTCTGTCCCTTAACGCAAAATTTAACAGGGCTTCCAAAGGGTTCAGTTTGAACCCCTGCTGAGAATTTGCATTTCTAACAAGTTCCCAGGAAGTGATACATAAGAATCACCTGGGGATCCTGTTAAAATGTAGATTCTGATTAGAACCAACCAGTTTGAAGCCCTACGTTTTAATTCATTGCTTCTTAGTGCTTAAGAGTCTAGCCTTCTCTGATGTTTGCTTTACTGTTTGGTTTTTAAAATTTGTGCTCTAATGGTGTTACTGATTGTATTTGCCTAAGGCCTAGTTCATGGTTGGCCACTGGTGGATGCCAGGGTTTAGGATGTTGCTAGATTTACAGTAGGTGTTCAATAAATTATTTGTTGCCATTATAATTATCTGCCTCATCCTGTAAAGAATAGTGTCTAAGTAACAAACACATTATAATAGGTTGTGTGATAAGTTTTATTTCTAAGTATTTTCCAAAATATTTTTTCAGCAACTGAACTGCTAAAAAGACTCCTAGGAACAAAAGGGAATTCTTATCTTTTTAAATTAATAGCTTCTTCTCTTTTCACACAGTTTTCTCTATATATCAGATCATTGCTTTCTTTGCTTAATTAGCCTTCCCACTCGACTCAGGGCTAGTTTAGTGACTCTTGCTGTCTCTCAGACGTAACATGGTCCAGGTCATCGAAACACCTCACTCTGCATTGGGGTAATGGTTTCCTATCTTTCACAGACATTTGATATTAGTCGTAATGTTTAGATGTGTTAGTTTCGGAAATTTGTTATGAAGCCATAACAATAGTTAATAATAGTCTATATAAGCCATTATATATTACATCCCCATAGGTTATTATATAATATGTCCGCATATATTGTTACATTTATATGTGTATTATCTATTACGTATACACTCTGGTGGCATAGTGGTTAAGAGTTTGGCTGCTAACCAAAAGGTCAGCAGTTAGAATCCACCAGGCACTCCTTGAAAACCCCATGGGGCAGTCCTCCTCTGTCCTATAGGATCCCTAAGAGTCAGACTCGATGGCAGTGAGTTTGGTTTGGGTTTATTACGTACGCACGTGCACACACATGTACCACACACATATAGCATCTATGTAAATTATGGAGACATACGTATATTTAAATCACATTATTTAGTTAGTATATAGACAATTCCTGATATCCATACAGAATCCCAAACCCCTTGGAATAACTGGAAACCCTAGTGGTGTAGTGGTAAGAGCTATGTATGCTGACCAAAAGTTTGGCAGTTCAAATCTACCAGGCACTCTTTTGGAAACTATGGGGCAGTTCTGCTGTGTCCCGCAGGGTCACTATGAGTCGGAATTGACTCGACAACAGTGGGTTTTAGAAGAACTGTTTTCTACTTGCTAGATTTTATGGCCCCTAGTTGTCAGAAACACTGGATTAGGGTGTCTTGAGAATCCTGGGAAATCTTCATGCTTTCTTATTTCTTTTAGAAAGAGGGAATTAATCAGTATTTTATTTTTGAATGCTGTTTAGAAAATCTTAAAGAATATTCCCTTGGCATTTAAAAAATGTCTAAGTTTCCAGTGCTGGTAGATTCTAAAACTATTTTTACTGATAGTAGAAATGTTGTCCCATTTACTACTTGAAAAAAAATTTTTTTTTTTTTTTTAAAATCTCTGCCACTGGCTACTTGTAATGTACTCCACTATTTATTTTCTTCCCTCCTTAGCTTCATAAGAGTTCATTTGGACATT